GGTCTTCAAAAAGTTCATGGAAAGAGTCATATTATCTTCTAATTCCATTTTTCCATGAACTTTTTGAAGTACCCTTATATCCTCTTCATCTCTTGAGCATTTTGGAACGTTCAGGGAGAGGCTTCAAGCAGGTTTATTTTGAAAACATTATCTCCAGAAATTTCACATACATTCTCAGTTAAAAACCGTTAATCTAGCCTAACACTCTTAGTAAATACTTTTTCCAAGCACACTCAGCTATATAACATCAGAGCCAACACTTGGGAGAGATCTCCTGATCCTTGAGCCAGGGTAAAACTTACAGTCATTATAGCAGAAAAATTAAGGTGATTTTAAGAAAACTATATTAGCCATTTTGTTGATTATTAGTTCTAATCACTTCTCAGAAAAACATAGTTTTCTCAGTTTTTGATGGTTCCAAAGGCACTATGGGATTATGCCATAGTAGCTGGTTAGTTGAGATTACTAATCAAAGAATGCCACAAAAAAATTTTTACTGTACTTTTATCAGTGAAAAATATTCTAAAATTGTTTTAAGAAATTGTCATACTTATGATCATAGACATAACTATTCAAGCCTGTCTGCCTCAAAAAATGATTATATGTATGGAGTAGGCCCCACCATTAGTATTTGAGTGACATTGAGTTAGTTAACTTTTATGTACCTGTGTTTTCTCACCTGGAATATGATGACAGAAATGATACCTAACTCATAGGAGAAAAGATATGTGAAAATACTTTGTAAACTGTAAAGCACTACGCAGACATTGATTATTACCTAAAAGCATAATTAGATGAAGTTTCTTGGCAGAACTTTTGTTTTAATTATTTATTTCTCTATATATGATACCAAAATTGTCAATTTAGTCAAAAACATTTATAATAGCAACAGATAGAATTAGTGTCTTTATTATCATTTAGTTAAAAGAAATAATTGTTTTTTACATTTTTTAGCAGTTGCCAAAAATCTACAGACAGCCTAATTGCAGCGCATTTGTTGCCTGTAATACTTTCTTTGTCTTGATCTAAATTAATATTAGCATTTCTATCTTTGATTATTTATATTTTTTTAAAGGTTTATTTTAGTGTTACTAGTTTTTCATTTGTATTATCAAATCAATTAGCAGAACTATAGTACTGGGGATTAAAGTTGTACCTGTTCAGCAAGAAAAAAAAATGGAGTCAGCATTCCAACAGCAGCTGTAAGCTCACACCAGACAAATTATTAACAAGACACTAAGTTCTGAGCTTGTCATAATACTCGTCATCACACCTACAGTCGACATCGCCAAACAGAAACATGATTTAAATGACTCCTCTTTGACAGTGAGAGATATACACATAAGCCTGTCCTAAAGGGCTGTTTGACTGTCAGGTTTTAGAATATATGGGCCATGCAATATTTATTTATTTATAGATATACACATTTACCTATTTATGCTGGAGATATTAAAATATTAAGTACACTTTAAAATTACCCACAGTCATTAAAAAGGTAGTATTTTTAGTCTTATTTTCTGTTAGTCTTATTTCTTGGTCTTTTTAGATTACATTTTCTTCTTTTATCTCTTTCTTTGATCTGACAGGGATAATAAAGCATCCCTTTGGATCTGCGGTGGTGAAAATATGCCCATAGGAAGTAAACTAGATCACTTCAGTTTTTACTTTATTTTCTTGCTGAAATATTCCTTGCTACCACAGAGAACTGACATGGTAGGGCTGTCAAGAACCACCAAGACAGATGTGTATTTAACCAGAACAGCTGCAATGCTGGCTTTCCTGAGAAGATGAATTCATAAAATTTATCAGGAAAAAAATTAACACACTTTTCATCCTGATGATGTTAATGAAGATATTCTAGTGACAACTTTGATGGCCTCTGCAATCGTTGCTTATTCTTTCTGTGGATTTGTTATCCCTGGGCTTTTCTTTCCCCCATTTCTGACTTTTTTCCTTGATATGGTGAGGGACAGCAACACCACCCTCTGGATCTGCCTGAAAGAGCTGTGGCACCATCTTGTCCATTTATAAGTGCCACGCTGCCTGATTGTCTTCACACAGGGATGCTCAGGGTTCCTGTCCTGGACAGTTATTCTGAGAAGCGATAGCAACAAATGATCAACAAAATGGCTGATAAAGATTTTTTAAAACCATCTTAATTTCCCCCCTACAGTAACTGGAAGTTTTACAGAGTGAAAATTTTAACAAATTCAAAAGCCAAATTAAAATAGAAAAACCCCTACATTTTAATTATTGGAGTGGAAATACACATTAGGTGTTCTTTAGGGACACTTTCAGGAGCAAGAATAGTATGATCCTTAAAACTAATAAGGGTATAGGTTCAAATATAGTTATTATTTGTTTCTCTTCCATAGCAATAAGGCTTAGCATTGGGAATATTCATTGAATAAAGTGATAGGAAATTAATGACACATTTAATTTTGGTTAGTGAATAAATCTTTTATTTAGGTTTATCTTTTTTTTTTTTTTTTTTTTTTTTTTTTTTTTTTTTTTTTGTAATTACTGCAGTCCTTCGCTGGTCCATAGTCATCAATTGTTCACTAGAAAAGCATAAATGATGCAGCTAGTCAAAGCTGAATGTAGGTCATTTATGTGACATGCTTTTTTCCTTTTCTTTGTGTTATTTTTATTGTGTGGTGTGGGGAAGTGCTAATTATTGATTTTCAGAAATTAACAGCAATGCTTTCACAAGCATCTAAAGTCGTATTTTACTCAAGGGAAGAAGGGTGAAAATTGCAGCCTGCTGTTTGTAATAGAAATAGCTGGAGGGACATCCTTATCTTCTGTTGACATAGATTTCAGTTATATTACACAGTTGTTACCTCGGCATAAATTAACAATTATTCAAAACACATTGCATGCTTCAATTTGTTGAAGAAGATATTACTCAATCTAAGTACCTAAGCATTTCAGTTAGATGTTTAGGACTCATTTTTAAAGGTTCTAAACATATTGATAATGAGCTTATTTAAAGCCATTTGCAGTTTCAATATAGCACATCTAAATTATTGTTTCTCATTTATGTCAAAATCAAAACATTTTGTTCTGCTGAATATATGCAATAATATTTTTAATCTGAATTTGGTTTAATAGAAGTGTATGATTTCATTCTGGAATATTTATACCACCACCTGGTGAACCTTTGTCTTGATGTCATTCCACACACTCAGCAACTTGATTTCAGCTTTTATTTTATTTATTTTTCCCATGACTAGACACTCCAGGTGAACTTATCAAGGTCACCACCTGTACTACTACTTCTCGCTCATTCCTCCTCGTGCACCACCACGTCCCCTCATCTCTTCTCCCCCAATCTACCTCTTGAATCAGCCAGCATAGAGTTTACTTTATATAAACTTAACCAATGAGGGAGAATTTGGCAGAGACGTTGTCCTGATTTTTCTCACATACAGTTAAACATTTCTGGGTTGAGTTCTCTACTTATATGCTATTTAATGATTAATCCAAAAGTGAGCAAAAAACCGAAAAGCTGGAAGAATCCTTAGGAGATCATCTGCCAAAATCCTTGCTTCCAGGAGGATCAACAAGTATAAATTGGGAAAAGACTCTACAGTCTGTCCCAAGAAGCTTATAGTAGTGTTTATCCCTAAAATATTCTAAGTCCTCAATGAAAATGTCTCTTCCTTGGATATGATCTTATTTTGGTCAGTCCTACCCAGACATGAAGCAAAAGGTAACTGGCATTTCTCTCATTTGTTTTCCTGAATACCAGTCCTATTTGTATCAGTCAGGATTTCAGCACGTTACCCTGTCGAGGGGATAATGAAGATTCCAGAGAAGATATACAAATGGCCAACAAACTCATGAAAAGATGATCCACATCACTAATCACTAGGGGAATGCAAATCAAAGCCACACTGAGATACCACCTCACACCGGTTAGGTTGGCTACTACCAAAAACAAACAAACAAAAAACAGAAAATAACAACTGATGAGGATGTGGAGAAATTGGAACATTTATGCACTGTTGGTGAGAGTGTAAAATGGTATAGCTGCTATGGAAAACAGTATGACATTCTTCAAAAAATTAAAAATAGAATTATCATATGATCCAGCAATTCCACTTCTGGGTATATATCCAGGGAACTGAAAAAAGGGGTTCAAAGAGACATCGGTACACCCATGTTCATAGCAGCATTATTCACAATAGCTAGAAGGTGGAAGCAACTCAAGTGTCCATTGATGGATGAATGAATAAACAAAGTGTGGTCTATACATACAATGCAATATTAGTCAGTCTTAAAAAGGAAGGAAATTCTGATACATGCTGTAACAGGGATGAACCTTGAGGACATTAATGCCAAGTGAAAAGAACCAGTCACAAAAAGACATACTGTGTGACTCCACTTATATGAATTATCCTGAATAGTCAAATTCATAGACACAGAAACTAAAATGGTGATTGCCAGAGGCTGGGGGGAAGGGGAAAGTGGAAAGCTTTTGTTTCATGGGTAGAGAGTTTTAGTTTTGCAAGAAGAAAAGATTTCTGGAGATTGAGATTGGTTATAAAACAGTGTGAATTGTACTTATCAACACTATTGAAGGTGAATGTACTGTACACTTAAAAATAGTTAAGATGGTAAATTTTATACTATGTGCATTTTATCACAATTGCTTTTCTTTTAAACGGATAATGAGGAGAGTTTAATAATGGTCCTAGTTAGGACGGTATGGCAGGATGAAGTGGATGAACAAGGGAAGGTGAAGCACCTAGGTGTTACCAACCTTAGGCCTTAGGAGACAAGGACAGGGGGCCATTACTGGAACCTGGCAAGAGAAGTCATTCAGCAACAGCTGTGGTCTTAAGTAGGGGAATGCAACCCAGCCACTGCAAAACTGGGACTTGGCAAGGAGGGAGCATGAAATAAATACCTCACCCTCCTGTCTCCTGTCCTGAGTTGTGCCATTGGCTGAACGCAGTGGGAAGGGAAAAAGGAAGCGAGCATGGTGATGCGGTCCATGGAGGCCCAACTCCCAGAGCCAGGGCAGGTGTCCAGCTCACCCGTCTGTTCCTGCTGGGTCTTCACTTCTCTAGGCTGAGCAGACCTATTTAAGGCATCCAGGGTCGGTCAGCCACTACCGACTACATTAAAATAAATGCACTCTTCCTGAGTTGACTTAACACTTATTTTACATAGAAAAACTGAGTGAGCTCGCCCCCATGGCACTGCCCTGATTTGAAGAGCAGATATTCCAGGTGGAGCATTTTCCATTTGGAGGAAATGGTGCTTTTTTTTTCACATTCATTTGTTAAGTCAATTACACAATTTCATCATATTTATCATTCCAAGGAGGAAATAGGAATCAGCAGGAAGATAAGTCTCCTCTTTGTTCTGTTTAGGTTTACACTAAAAGAATGAAACCAGGAACTAAGGCAGGTAACTGAACAAATCAGAATACCCTCCTCAGATACTGTCCAACATAATCTACTAGTTAAAGCAAGTGTGGTCCTCTTTTACTTGAGTTACCAAACATTTGCTTAAATATTCTAATAATTTTGCTGGAATAGATTTATCCTTAATGCAGTTGATTGTTAAAACAAAAGGAAAAATATTTGTTCTTCTAGTTTGTAGTTTCTGTGAAAAACTAGAAGCAGCTGAATATAAAATAGCATTTTAATTTTTTATATAATTTAATGTTTATAAATCAAGAAAAAATAAAGTGCAGATATTATTTGCTTGATTTATTTTGTTCCTGTTTTCCCAGCATTAAAAAGTAATGCTTTGTATGATCTTGCTTTATTATAACAATAAACCAGAAGCAAACGCTTATCAGTTAAAATACAGTCTGCCATTAAAACCTTTCCCTTTATCATTTTAGACTTTCCAAAATTCCCTTGTTTTTGTTTATTGTTCCCTATTTGCTATTGGTAGAATTGCAGGTGGAACAGAAGGATGATGTAAATCACACACGTATTTTTATTGTGTGTCAAATTTATATTTTCTGGTTAAAAGAATATCTATTTTCAAGCATTAAAGTAAAAGCATTGTAAGTAAGAGCTGTACAGGGAGATAAACACAATACTAAGGAAACTTTTTGAAAATCTTATTCTATGTTCGCAATAACCACTTGGGAACCACTTTTCCTACTTTTTTCTTGGATTTTCTGAAAATTGTCAGTGAATTCACTGCTTATTTGGACATAGTCTGATATTTTGCATTGCAAATAGCATAACCTGTAGTACTTTATAAAATGCTGATTTTTTTTTAAACAATTTAAAAACTCACACAAACCATTGTCAGTGAATTCACTGCTTATTTGGACATAGTCTGATATTTTGCATTGCAAATAGCATAATCTGTAGTACTTTATAAAATGCTGATTTTTTTTTAAACAATTTAAAAACTCACACAAACCCAGGGAATGGATGAGGTAGGTCATTTGAGAGCCTATATTATTAGCTCCCTCATCCTGTTTTTCATAACACTGTAGGCCTGATGGCATTTCACCTGAAAGGTAATACTAAATTACATTTACCCCAAAAAAGACTAGAAGTTGTAAAGATTCTTTAGGAGAAAAATGTATCTGGGTTATATTTACTTGCATTGTGGAAAGACGAGATTAACTGAAGTTTTTACCTACCACATACCAGAGAAAGTATGACTTCTGAATTACGACTTGTTTAATTCTAGTCATACATATTATACACATCACACAGCATATTTATTTCCTCATATATATCTTTACTCACAGAAGAGGAAGAACTTTCTTGGAAGGAAGAGAATAATGGAAGAAACCAATTAAGTAACAGGTGCAGAAGATCAAAGGCATGAGGCACATGTCACACCATAGCTAATACACATAGCCTTTGTGCACGTTTAAGAAGACACCCTCTTTAAGTGAATGGATTATAAAAGGTGCTCCTTCCTCCGGAAATTGAAGTAGATTCTATCCCTCATTTGTCCCTCAACTGGGCACCTTTGTACGAGGCATAGGCAACACAGCCATGCACAGTGGTCCTGACCTTAGAGGAGAAGATAAAAGACTAGAGAGAGCTGTGAAGAATAAGTAAGAAAAAAGGAGACCTGGATAAGGATGTGAGTAATTTCATAACTTGGTAGGTGGGTCCTGGAGGATTTTACTAAGGAGAGCCTAAGAAGACTAAGGAAGGGGATAATCAGGAAGTAGGGAGGGGACAAAAGGGAAAGTGTCCCTAAGGGAACTTTCCTTAATGGGAGATTTATACTCCAGATAAGCAGGTAAAATTGAGTTATGTGTCTCAGATGTGTATGAAATCTGAAAATCATATATTCTGTTTAAGTTTACTTATTTTGTTCACCAGCACATAACTTGGTTCACATTTCCCTTTACTACTCTGCCTACCCCTGCAGAATTCCATGTTTTAGAACTTCCTCAAGGTGTCAAGCGTACCAATTTTGATGGTCTTAGCTGAGGAGAAAAATAAATGCTAAGCACACAATGACTGCTCAATAAATATTCAACAAAATAATTTTTATAAAAATAAGTAAGAATCTCTAAAATAATTAAAATTTAAAACTCTTAAGAAATGAACTTAATTTTCATTCCTGTCTGGACAATTCCTGGTGAAGAAATAAAGTGGTATTCCACTTCGAGTTTGGATAAGTAGGAGTTTCAGCATATCAGTACCCTAAAAGACCAAACAGTCTAAATCATTACTTTGTTTACAGCTTTGACCATTATGTTTTGCATTCATGAATACTTACAGAAAAATAAATACACAAAATCAATGCAGCCATTTTGGAGAACAGTTTGACAGTAAAACTTAATACATTTCTACCCTATGACTCAGTAATCCCTTATCTAGGTGTACACTCAGCAAAAATGGCTGCTTACCTCCATTGAAATGCATGTACAAAAATTTTGTAAGCAATTTTATTATAATAACCTAAAACTGTTAACAACCCAAATATCCATCAACAGGAGGACTGATAAATTGTAGTAGATTAATACAATGGAATAATGCTACACAGCAAGAAAAGAACTACTGATACACACAACAACAAGAATGAATCTTGCAGACATTATAATTGATCCCCCAAAAAAGCAGACACAGAAAATATGTATTCTATAATTCCTTTCATCAGAACTTCAAGAATAGAAAAAATAATCCATGGTAATAAACAGTGATTAGCTTGACAGGACATGGGTAGTGGAAAAGACATTATAATTGATCCCCCAAAAAAGCAGACACAGAAAATATGTATTCTATAATTCCTTTTATCAGAACTTCAAGAATAGAAAAAATAATCCATGGTAATAAACAGTGATTAGCTTGACAGGACATGGGTAGTGGAAATAATTGGCTGGGAGGGGCATGAGGTTACCAGTACATATGAATACAGTACTGTCATGGAACCTTCCAATTCCATTCCACAATCTTCTGTCTTGATCTGGGTGGTGGCCGAAAGAGGGGGAAAAAAATGTAAACATACACACACACACATACATACACATACATTCATCAAGCTATACACTTAAGATTACTGTATTTTTATCTTTCTTAAACCTTAAAAAAATTAATAAATAAATAAAAATGGGTGCACATAAGAAGTTTAAGTCTAAGATGCCAAATTTGGTGATTATAAAGACCTACAAAAGAATGTTATTATTTAAGTATAAGCCAATCCATACAAGTGTTTTCATGTTATCCCACCAAAGGGGGTTGTTAACAGTGGATGCATGTTTTTCATATTTGTAAAACACCAAAGGTTTTGTCAATCACATTTTTTTCCTGCTGGCCAATACAAGGATTGAAGCCTGGACCTTGGTGTTATCAGCACCACGCTCTAACCAACTGAGCTAACCAGAGAGCTCTCACACTTGTTTTGAACAACCTTGTGGTTTAAGCCTATTACACATGCTAGATGTGTATGAAATATGTAAGACTCATTATATCACTGTTTATTATATGTAAAAAGTTACAATAATTTATTGATTCTAAGATGCATGTCATTTTCATGTCTCAACACTCCACATCACGATGCATCTTACAGTCGGCCAATGGTGTGTCATAGTTTAATTGGCAGTGTTTTTTACTTCTTAAGAGTATGTAAAATAATGATGCTTATAATAAATGGATAACATCTCAGATTCAATGAAGTTAGAATGACAGACTTATTTCCAACATTTTAGTCTTTTGCATACACATTACACATAGTCATGAGCTCATGTATGCAGTGTTAGTTCATTCTTTCTTCACTGGAAATGGCAATAGATGCATAAAGCAATAGGATTTTTTTAATGCAAATTAAAGTTTTGGCTATTAGATTTTTAAAAGGACTCACGAACCCCAAAGTCTGTAGGAAGCAGACAGAATAAATAAGTGAAGCAGGCCAAGGCAGTTCCCCAGGTGGGTCGCATGAATGGTGAGCGTTACAAGAGGGCAGCTGTGCCTTGGCCCTGGACGAGTGTTGCTGTACAGGTATGCTAATGTGGTATTGCCAGATCTTTTTTTTTTTTTTCCAAGAAGCCAAAACATCCAATTTATTGTATGAAATTTCCTAACCTGTGTTGGCTCAAATAGAAACCATGTCTGTGAGCTGAATCTAGCCCATGGGATGCCAATGTGTGACCTGTGGCTGAATATAAGCTCTGCGAGGGCAGGGATATTTGTCTGTTTTGTTTGATGATTATCACAAATATCTTGAATGGTATCTAGTATGTAGTAGGTACTCAATAAAAATATGCTTTATAAATAGATAAAGCTAACATTAAATCTCTGGCTCATGCAGAACAATA